GGTGGTTGGCAAATTTGAGCAAGGGTGGAGAAGTTGGTGAAGTAAAGGAGGTGTTTGTCACTGTGAAACAGTGACCGGACATAGGCCTCTGCTAGACCTACGTGCCTAGTCATGCTTAGCAGTGAAGGTGCGGTCTCGGCCGTGTGACCGGACACTGGCGCGAAGTGGTGACCTGACGCGCAATGGCCGTGTCCGGTCGATTTTAACGTACGCTAACGTAAGCGGCTGTGTGAGCGAGGAGTGGACCTAACGTGATGGTGCGTCCAGTCATGAGCATCTGATGCGTCCGGTCGCAGGAAATCACCTCTAGAACCTATCTGTAAATGAACTGACGCCGAGAAGCCGAGGAAAACGGCATGTTCGGTCGTGCCTTGGCCGTGGCGCTCGTGCGCGAGCTCTGCTGCTGATGGGAGCGTCCGTCATGTGACGGGCGCGTCCGGTCTTGACTTCACTGCACAGGTGTTGGAAGATAGCCGTTGGAAATCAATGGTTGAGGTTAAATGTTTGATGACACATGGCAGCAATCGAGCGTCCGAACGCTGGTGGCGTGCGTCCGGTCGATCTGACCGGCACATCCGGTCACCACGCAGTTGGCTGCAGTGAGAGTTCAATGGTTCTATTTCGTGTGGGCTTCTATTTAAGCCCCATGGCCGGCTCAAGCTCACCTACTTGGCCATTTGCATTAACATAGCAACCTTATGAGTTTAGCCAAAGCCCTCCCACTCATCTCTATCATTCATTCATCATCTTTGTGAGATTGGGAGTGAATTCAAGTACATTGCTTGAGTGATTGCATCTAGAGGCACTTTGTGTCTGTGTTTCGCTGCGGGATTCGCTTGTTACTCTTGGTGGTTGCCGCCACCTAGTCGGCTTGGTGCAGCGAAGATCGTCGAGCGGAGGAAGGTGCTTGTCTCCGACTCCGATTGTGGTGATTGTGAAGGGTTCTTGACCTTTCCCCAGCGGAGAGCCAAAATGTACTCTAGTGAATTGCTCATGGCTTGTGTGATCCTCATCTTGTGTTGATTGTGCGGCACCCTATTGAGGGTTTGGCGTGTGATGCCAATTAGCGCGTGAATATCCAAGTGAGTGAATCGCCACAACGAGGACTAGCTTGCCGGCAAACAAGTGAACCTCGATAAAAAATCTTGTGTCACCTTGTTTCGAGGATTTCTTGATTGATTGCGATTGATTGACTCCATTATATTGTGATTGGCTCTATCCTCGACACGGCGGTATAATTCTCACATCCCCTCTCTTGTATTTACATTTCTAGTGTTGCTTCACTCTTTAGTGTAATTAGTTTTGAGAACAAGCTTGTGTTGAGTCTAGTAGTTAGTGTGGCTCTTTAGTTAGTTTTTGAGAGCACTCTAACTTAGTTTAGTGACATAGCCTTTGTGTGCTTAGAGATCATAGTCACTAGAATTATGATAGGTGGCTTGCATTTTTAGTAGGCTAGCGCAATATTCACTTCGCCTCATATTTGTCTAACCAATTTATTAAGTGTTGTTGTAGAAATTTTTAATAGGCTATTCACTCCTCCCTCTAGCTATTAGGACCTTTCAACCATCCTCTAATTTGCTCTAGCTTCACCAATGGTAGCCACAATGAAGTACTACGGGTTTTGGCCCTATACATTGTCTCTTAATCTCATGGGACGGTGGCACCTACGCACCTATGCCACTTTAGATTGCCAAATGGGCCAGGACCGATGTGCAGCACTAGGAACAACTCTGAAAAGCACATCCCGACAGGAACGGCCTGGCTGACCGAGTGGTCAGTGCAGGCTCAATACCTCCCCCTTAGGGTGGTCAGAGCTCGAGTTACATGGGACTCCGTCTTTATTTGTGGCTTCGGTCGCAACGACCAGGGGGGAAAACTCACTCGTCTGCCCCACATCCACTACAAGAGATTGGGCCTTCTATGACAATTTTGATATGACAAAGCACTTTTTAGTCATAGAAACGATGAGTTTATGACAATTTTTCAATAGATGACAAGCGTTTGTGACAAAGTTGTGCTTTGGTCATAAACAACCATCACCATGTGCACTTCCCAATCTTTGTGACAATAGCTCATGACGAAAGTGATCGAAAGTAATCGTCATTAATTAAAAAACCTAATCCTACAATTCAAATATTTTGCAATTCAAATATTTTTAAACTGTTCAAATGAACTCGGATGGAGAAATGACCAAAACAAAAGTTGTAGACCGTGATGAGACCTACAACTTTGTAGTTGACAACCTTTCCATTTGAGATCATTTCGATACCTAAAATTTGATATAATGTTAAAATTTAGGGACCAACAAATATAGATCTGAGCACTATATCATTTTTTACATACCGTAACAATGTCAAATGAAAAATTCATAACCTACAAAGTTGTAGATCTCTTTTTTCTACACAATTTATATATAAATTTTATCTTCATTCGAGTTTATATACAAAAGTTATGGTTTTTTAAAGATCAGCCAGCAGATAAGAAAAAAAATAGTGAAAGGCTAATTTACATATTTCATCAATCTATGGTGGAGTTTGTGCATCACAAATTAATTTATTGATTTGTTTAAACATTGTTGTCCTTGTTGGCATGTTCCACAACCACGTGATCACAGGTGGGTCCATATACTTTTCTATTTTCGTTGTTTTCCCTAACATATTTCAGCCCATGTTATCTTTATTTCATGCCCGTGTTGTTAAATGTGGCGCTTTATTTTATTTACGCCTAATCACTGCAGCAAGAAAATAAAACATGCAGCCGTGGGTGTGAACCTGTAACCTGAAAGAAAAGAAAATAAAAAAGAAAACAAATTAAAAACACACACATGCCATCCAACCCACGCACGCACATAGGACCCCGGACTCCCTCTCGCGCACACAGGCTCGCTCTGTATGGGCCAGAAATTTGGGCAAAATAATTGAGGGTAATGAGGTTTCGAACCTATCAGCACACGTACTAGGAGAAGCAGCCATGACCATTGAAATTTAGTAGCTAAGTCGGCAGCACCAGCATCCTCGCTCGGCCCAGCGCAGCAAGCGCTCCCGGCCTAGCCCAGCACGTGCTCCCTCCCAGCCCATCAGTAGCAGGAATTATTAACAAAAAAAATTGTGCATTGAAGGGGGCTCGACCTGGGAGGCTGCACACCAGGAGACAAAGATATATGAACCGCAAAGGCATTTGTGTTATAGTTGCTGCAGTTTCCTTTTTATATTGAAATTTACCTGCTGAAGGTCGGCTAGCACTCGCCTCTCCAAATCCGTAGTGCATATTAGCATTCATATTTGTTAATATCTAGAGCTAAGTAAGCTTGGTTATTTAATTTTTCAATATTATTTTAGTATACTTCCAGACTAAGTAACATTGTTCATTCATATTTGTATACTTCGGTATCCATCCAGTTGTATTAGTTAACCATTCATATATTTGTATACTTTTATAAAATCAAGAACGGCATTGACGGACCCAGTCGCGCCTCGGAACAGTGGATAGCCGTCCAAGTTTCGATCAACGGTCAAGTCAACGCTGTCGGTCAACTGCGGAAGAGTTAGTCAAACAAGCTTGAATGAAGAAACGATCAAAACAAAAGTTGTAGACCTCGATCAGGTCTAAAACTTTGTAGTTGATGATTTTTTTATTTGAATTTATTTATGTCTAAAGTTCTAATATATTGAAATTCAAATGTAATAATATCTAAACTTGGTTAAGAAAATCTACAAACTTGCATGACAACATAATTTTGGTGTATAATCATTGCATAAAAATTTCAAATCATTGTAACAAAGCGGTACTGCACATCGTTCACAAATGTATACATCTCTGACATAGTTATATGACTTAGTGAGAGATGTTTGTATTTGTGAAGGATGTATAATCCCACCTTATTGAAATTGCTTGAATTTTTTATGGAATGCTTATAGACCCAAATTATGTTGTTGTGTCAATTTGTAGAATTATCTGACCAAATTCAGTTATTATTATAATTATTCATTGAACTACCATAGAATAAATGTAATAATATTTAAACTTGGTTAGAAAAATCTAAAAACTTTCATGACAACACAATTTTGGTGTATAATCATTGCATAAAAATTTCAACTGATTTCAAAAGGCGATACTCAACATCCTTTAGAAATGGATACATCTCAAAACGGTATTGCACATCCTTCACAAAATGAATACATTTCAAACATAGTTATATGACTATGTGATAGATGTTTCCGTTTCATGAACAATGTATATTCTGATTCTGTCAAAATGGCTTGAAATTGTTTTTGCAAGCATGCATACCCAAAGTATGGCCCCACATAAAATCTTAGATTTCTGATCAATTTTGGTCATTACTATATTTATTTTATGCTAAATCAGAGATTAAACATGGCCCAACAAAGAGCCTAATTGCGCTAAATAGGGAGATTACAAGTACTAAAAATAAATGCCTAAAAAATTACAAACTTAAATTTGGAGACGCCTTAAAAAATATTGGGCTTAAAATGAACTTAAGTAAACAGAAAATTATATGCACTTCAAAATTAAACAAAACTTAATTTGTGACTTAATTCAGCCTAAGGAAAAGAAACTGTGTGGCCCTAAAGGCCCTTTCGGCCTGCTTAGCAACCCGTGTGGGTTTTTCAGACTCTCAACCTGGGCTTGGGCCTCACTTTCGCTTTTGGGCCACTGACACCCGCAGGCCTGTTAAGGCTGTGGATGATCAGAGCCCTTGATCTGAATCCAACGGCCGAATTTGGTGCCACTCGAAAGAAAACCAGCTCCACGGCCGGCCTCCCCAAACCCTAACTCCCTTCCCTTCCCTTCCAGACGTGCGGCCGCCGCAAGGAGAGAGAGAGAGCAGGCGGGCGACAACGACTCGGCGGCGGCGGCGGCGGCGGCGGACACGGACGTCGAGCTGCTTAATCGGGCCTGGTGCAACGAGAAGGCTGCGCCGGAGATCCTCCGCTTCGACTCGCCCCTCGAGTCGCGCGCCCACGAGCAGATCCAGCTCCATGTACGCTTGTCCTTATCCGTCTTCTCGATCGCGTTCCTCCGCTCCACCTCCTCCTGCCTCGATCTCTTCGCCGCGAGCGCTCGGGTTACTTGCGGCTCTGGATCTGACCGGTGTTCCCTCTCCACGTGTCGTTTACAGGAGGAGACGCTCGACGACTTCGCCGACAGTGGTGACTGGCATCGACGATCTGGTGGTGTGGCTGTTGCTGATGGAGAAGTACACGATGCATATCTCCAGGTCCGACGACCTCCTCAGCCGCCTGTCGCAGCAGGAGCGCCGCTTCGCCAAGAGGTACCTTCTGACTGCGCTCGTGCGTCTGCGGCAATTGCCACATTCGTTTATGTTGGCAGTGTTGCCTTATGAAAATAACCGTGGTTCTGATGGGGATGGATTTCTCGTGTCTGCTCTGTTAGAAGTTGCGTGGAGATCATGGAGAAGCATCTGGAGTAGTTGTTGTCCAAGCTCCTGTGCGGTTATGGTTCGGTTACCAGGCAGTCGTTGTCCAGCACTGAGGATGACATGGGTATATTCCCTCCACTTCATCTCCCAAATTAGCCCAAATTACCGTGTTCCTTGTTCCTTCCTACTGTTACTGCTATACCATTCTTGTCGAGTTCTTGTTGTACGCAGCTTCAGTCAAGGGTGTGTATGGTCGGTAGAAATTTTTGCCGTTTCAATTTCAAGTGGGCAGCCTGGCATGTATCCTTGGGACTCTGATCGTTAGTTGTGCTCAAAAGTCTGAGTTACTACATAATAAAATTTAGTTATCAAATTAATCAGGCTGTCAAATTATAAAGAACATATTTGTGGCCATATGTGCAAGTGTAATTTTATCTGTGCAAGTTGTCATTTTGTCTATGCAAGTTACTAGCGAATTATCTGCAGAGTTGTATCAATTAAAATCGTACATATGGTTGTCAATTATCTGCAGAACTAATAAATAAATGCATTGTGCCTCAACTAGCTAATTATTACCAGTAGTGAAGTACTGACTGATAGCAAGGACACACATTGCTGTTAAATTATTGTTTCAACTGCTGTTAACTTTCTTTTTCAAATGTTTAAACTGTTGTTTACATGTCTAGAAGTCTAAATTTAAGGATGACCCACCCACTGCGATTGACTTCTTCAAGGCCACACATATTGCATCAGCAAGACATGTTATAGTGAGGATGCACAAAAAGCTATTGTGAGTACATCTTCCTGTCTTTTTGTACTGTGATGGATAAAAATTGGAATGCGAGAATCCTGACTTGCTTTTTTTTCCATGCTAGGCTGAAATGGAGGCCATCGCTGCTCAAGCACCACAAGAAGGGCAAGTGAACCTGTGGGTGAACTGTTGGTGATCTGTTGGTGATCTGTTGTGTATTTTGATGATGTAATTCATTTGTATGGCTGGTGAATGGTTATAACTGTTGTAATGAACAATCAATTCTGGATTAAATGATATGTATGGATGTCTAATTATTATTGTTATTAAATTATATGTGGTTTAATATATGGGCTTGGGCCGTAATATCACATGCAAACTGGGCTAGAATACTACTGGGCCAGTACGGCAAAAAAACTAAAAAGGCTGACAACAATTGGGCCAAAAAATGGCCAGCCAGCACATGGGCCAGTTGGGCTAAGTTGAATTATAATTGTAAAAACCAGCCCATGGGTCAACTGGACCAAATTCATTTTTATGACAATTATTTTCGTCATACTACCTATGCCACGTCACACGCCACATCAGATCCCTGGACACTTGTTATCATCCCGTCTAATATATTGTGACAAATATAGTGACAAATACCGTGGTCATAACCTGGTGACAGTACATGCAATTGTCACTAAGATAATGACAATTGGGTCTGTTAGTCATAGAAGGGGGATTATGACCCCACCTTCTATGACCACAGCCATATTGTCATTGTTGTGTCATAGAAGAGGTACAATGACAAGAAAAAGAATGTAATTGTCACAATCAGTTAGTCATAGAAGGCCTAAGCTCTTGTAGTGACCCAAAGCACAGGCCTGTGGCCATCACGGAGCTATGGTGTTGCTGTGTATAGGTAGGGCAGGAGTTCAAATATATGGGTGGGGCAAGGGTTCGGGAATTTTTTCAATATTCATTAGAAGATCTTTTTCTTGAACCAAAATACTCGAGGACTATCTCGCCACCGTGAATCAGAGTTTTTTGAAAAGCACTTCCCGACACGAAGCTGAGATAGTTCCAGTGCCGTCACAAGAACATGCGGCCGTTATTATTCATGGATCAAACAGAACATATTTTCCGTGGCACAAACCAGCTAGCAGCGTCGTCGCATTTTGCATAGGCTCTGTTTGGTTTCTAAATACGTTCCTAAAATTCATGTCACATCAAATATTTAGACACATGCATGGAGTATTAAATATAGACCAATTACGAAACTAATTACACAACTTGCGACTAATTTGCGAGACGAATCTTTTAAGCCTAATTAGTCCATGATTTGACAATGTGGTGCTATAGTAAACATGTGCTAATGACATATTGATTAGGCTTAAAAAATCGTCTCGCAAATTAGCCTCTATCTATGTAATTGGTTTTGTAATTAATCTATATTTATTGCTTTTTAGTAGTATCTAAACATTCGCTGTGACATTAATTTTAGGAGTACACCCCGAATTCCCTGTGTAAAGGCTGTATTGATGTGACGTCGTGCTCCAAAGAAGCTAGACATGGTGGAGGACCGCACAAAGACTCGTAGCGGTCCAATGAGCTGGCTGTTCGCTACTAGATACAAGTGGCGGAGGCGGCGGCATGATGGATGATACATGCACCAGCCGGTGCATCTCGTGTTGTTAGTAGATACAAGTGGCGGAGGCGGCGGCATGATGGATGATACATGAGGCGGCGGCATGATGGATGATACATGCACCAGCCGGTGCATCTCGTGTTGTTAGTAGATACAAGTGGCGGACGGCATGATGGATGATACATGCACCAGCCGGTGCATCTCGTGTTGTTAGTAGATACAAGTGGCGGACGGAGGGCGGCGGCATGATGGATGATACATGCACCAGCCGGTGCATCTCGTGTTGTTAGCATGATGGGTTACGGCACTGCGTTGTGTCAGATTGGCAAAGGGTGTCGGGAGCAGCTAGCAGCACTGTGCACGAGATCGCTCAGTGTTTTTCTCTCGCAAAAAACCACTATCAACCATGAACAGGGATGCCGAAGAGGAGGCCAACCAGCGGGCTTGCAGATTCTCTGCTTCCCTGCTTTATCCGACGACGCGAAAACGCCATTTTTGAGGTGATTCCACTGCTCCGGCGCGCGCGGCCGTTAAAACTTAAAAGCAACGGAGAAACCGAGGGAGGGGACAGACCAGACAGCCGCCTTCTCCATCCGGTCTTCAAACCAACGACTCGCAGTCGTTCAAAACTGGACACACTCGCACACAGGAGGAGCCGAGTGCCGGGAGCTGCTTGCTGTCGTCTCGCCAAGTAGCAAGTAGGAGCTCTCGCCAAGTCGCGCCTCCCTCCTTCTCTCTTTCTCTTTTCTCCCTCGCGCGCGCCATATGCTGAGGTCAGTGTCCGGCTCCAACTCCTCGAGGGGCATCGCCGCCGTGGTCGGCGTCGGGCCCCGGCTCGGCTCGGCGGTGGCGCGCAAGTTCGCCTCCGAGGGCTACACCATCGCCATCCTCTCCCGCGACCTCGGCACGTCCATCTATCCCCTCGCTCCTCCTTCCTCCCATGCATCTCTTCCCTCTTCTTTATTTCGATCGGAGAAGCTGAGTCCTTGCGCCGTGCGCGTGCGTGCAGAGAAGCTGTCGCAGCTGGCGGAGGAGATCGCGCAGGAGGCCAAGGCGCAGGTGTTCGCGCTCCGGGTGGACTGCGCCGACGCCCGCTCCGTGCGCGAGGCCTTCGAGGGCGTCCTCTCCCTCGGCCCCGTCGAGGTGCTCGTCTACAACGCCTGCGAGCCGCCGCCGGACAACGACGACGACGCCGCGGCCGCGCGCCTCACGCCCTTCCTCGCCGTCACCCCCGATGCTTTCCACCGCGCTCTGGCCGTCTCCGCCGGAGGGGCCTTCCACTGCGCACAACAGGTACGGTATTACACGCCGCACGGGCACTGTACAGCGAATTATCACGCGACTCCTCTGAGATTATGATCCATGCAACATCCATATATATCGCAGGTCATCCCGGGCATGGTGGAGAGGGGCAGGGGCACCATCATCTTCACGGGCTCCTCGGCGTCGGTCACCGGCTTCGCCGGCTACTCCGATCTAAGTAAGTGGGCGGCCGGCCGGCCGGGGCCTTTCGTCTGGCAAACCTACTCTACTGCTTCTGTAGCTAAGCGATTCTTGACACGCATGCGTGCGTGTGCAGGCTGCGGCAAGTTTGCCCTCCGGGGGTTGTCCCAGTCGCTGGCCAGGGAGTTCCAGCCGGCCGGCGTGCACATTGCGCATGTGATCATCGACGGCGTCATCGGCGAGAGGAGGTCAGTCCACTCAGAACTCGGCTATATTGATTGATTAACAACAATCCATCGTCTATTCGATGCGCGCGCATAGTATCGGCCGGCCGGTTCCCGGCCCTTTTTTTAATGTTCAAAAGAATTAAGCATCAAGTTCCTCCGTCTGATCCTATATGTTGATCCATCCACCAGTTCGCCCTAGCGGCGGGTGGCGGCTCCCTCAGCGCGTGCTTTTGCGACCGAATTTGCGTATATGTCAGATTCAGATTAGGGATCGGAGTTCATACATAATCTGGCTCGGGAGATGCCAGCTGGTAGGCGGGGAATAATGTTCTTGTCACTGCTGTGTGTGTGAGAGACAATGAGTAGGAAGAGAAAGAGAGGCCACATTTGGGAGTTGGAGAGCTCAGCTGTGATTGTGAATGAATTCCCTCTCGCTGCCTCCCTAGTCAGGGTGGTCCAGCGGTATCCCAACGTGTAGATCTGATCCGCCCAGAGGCCATTTTCAGGAAAGGCAACAAAAAGGACCTTAATATGCAAGAATCCATTCCCAAACGGTGGCGCGGATATATACGACTTCTGTACCTCAACATACTCCCAACCTTGGACACTTGTAAAATAAGATATTTGAGTCAGTTCTACCTATGTATTCACCCTCCCAAAATAAATCAAGCCATTAATTTCTTTCTTTCTTTCTCGATCGGACATATAACCCGTTTTTCATTAAGAGAAAGTAAAGGTAGTTAAACAATTACAACAGCATGCGTCCCAGTAATCCCAAGATTACCAAGACCCCAAGCACCCGATACTAGAAAAAGCAAGAAAACAACAAGAAAGGCAAAAGGGAGAGAACCCTTCACCATAAACCTAACCGACTGAACCTGCAGGAAAAAAAATTCAACGCAAAGGCTGCCCACTCGAGAAAGCGAAGCCGCGGTGGCAAAGCATCCACCGGAAGAACCAAGATAACGGCGACAACAAAGGACCGGTAGCCGCTGTGATCAATCGTCGAAAGAACCCAGATAACAGCGACAACAGCGACCAAGTAGCCGTTGTGGTCACCGAATGACTGCATCGGCAACTCCAACAACGACCAGGTAGCCAGCCAGAACCGAAGCGATTGCAGCGGCAACATCAACAAAGTCCAGATATAGCCGCCAGAACCGCATTTACTGCAGCTCCAAATTAGTTCAGTTCAGTTCAGTTATTTTAACAACGTATGTTTTTTTTTTTGCGACGTAACAACGAACGTATATATAGTTTTATTAGAAAAAGAACATATACGCAGCTAGATATATAGATCTCCCTGTTCTTTTAGAGCTACTGTAGATTAAACTGCCATAATAGAATCGGCAGCGGCTTCTTGCTGAAGCGAACATCCCATAGATCTCCCATCTTTATTCTACGACTACGGGGAACTTCCTTCCTGCTCATGTTATATGCAACCGTACAAAAGACTGTCAACTTGTCGCGAGAGAATCTGGCTGGACGTGCTTTTCGCACCCTCCAGCCTGCTCGGAGACCCCGGCACATGGCTCGGCCGTCGGCCGGCACGTTCGCCCGCCCCGGCGAGCCTTTTGCCCCCGCGCGCCCCGGCGAGCTCGCTCGCTTGACACGTTCGCCCGCGGTATATGCTGCCGCGTTCCTGCCGGAAAAAGGCGTGCCGATTTTTATGCCGGCCCCCGCGCCGCGGGTGCCGCGTGCACGCCCGCTTTTGGGGCAGGAGGACGCGTGGTGCCGCCGTGGAGCGCCGAGGGATCGACCAGGTCGAGAACGGCGTGTGAATTTCAGGCTTTCTTTCCACGCGAACTCGATCCACTTGTTGCTAGCTGTTGACACTCGCGGTCCACGCACATGATAGAAAAGAGAAATATCAATGTCACTCGTAGACATTCCTCGAGTATAGAAAGTACTCCACGACCCAGTATCCACGTAGCAGAAGCAGCCGCCTAGCTAGCTAGGTGACCAAGCAATGCAACCCACAGTCACTTCACTCCTCACAGATCGACCCCCGCGCGCACAGTGGCCCTGCGAATCTACTACATACTCTTACTTGACAATGAGATATATGTGGCGCTAGCGAGCTGATCTCGTCTTGTCATTTGGTCAGATCGCCGAGGAGCAGCAGAGCCGGCAGCGCCGGCGGTGACACGGCGGGCGCGGACCCGGACGCGGTGGCGCAGAGCTACTGGCACGTCCACGCCCAGGACAAGAGCGCGTGGACGCACGAGATGGACATCCGGTCGCCGTCCTTCATGTAGCACCACCAGCAGCAGCCGCTGTACGGTGCATAGCTCCCTGGATTGCTATGGGCGTTCCCGGCCCGATCGAGCAGGAGAGAACCAGTCGATCGGTGGTCTCGTTGTGTACGTCGTGTGTGTGTGTGCGCGGCTGCGGGCCGGGAATCGTGTCCCCGTCCTGCGCCGCACGTTTGCGCCGCTCCGCTTGAGCTAGTAGCCTTTTTGGTCATTTGGTGTGAGATGCCCGTCGCTGCAGTGCCGGTCCTGAGTTTTATTGGACCTAGAACAGAACTAAAATGTTGGGTCTTTTATATAAACATGATAATATACTCTCATTGCTAGTATATATACACACATATATACAAAAATGTTACCAATAAACGGTTAACTGAATGGAAAAGCAATATTCATATGAAATAATTTATATACATATTAAATTACCTCAAAAATGTCTTCTAACATTCCTCGATGTGAAGTCATCGATGATGGTGTCTTTTTTTCTCGAATACGCAAGAGCGTTGCGTATCATTATATTAAGGAGAGAATAGAGGTTTTGTACAATGCGCCGTCTCTAGGCCGGGCTCAGACGGTTGGTTACATTGAGATCTCGGTGAGTAGCGAGCTATCCCCGATGCTAAACTCCCTAAATTCTTTGCTCCAGCTTGGATCCACAGGTCGGCCTCCGCCTTGATGATGAGCAGGATATCGGGCACTGTGGTCGTGGCATCCCTGAAGCAACGGGCGTTCCTCTCTTTCCATAGTTGCCATGAGACCAGTGCGAATAGCAAGTCAACGCCCTTCTTCTAATGGCTGTGCCAGCTCCGTCGAACTCTCCTCCACCATGCTATGCTAGAACTGATGGCGCCGGTGCTGGTAGTTCACGTCCTAGAGTTCGGCAAATGTGGAACCATACCTCCCTTGAATAGGGGCAGCTACACAAGATGTGGTCTATCGTCTCCGGCGCTTGATCGTAGAGGTAGCACTCTTCCCTTGCTCCGAGACCGTGCCTTGCACGCCGGTCGTTCGTCCAATGTCGTCTCGTGAAGGTGAGCTAGAGGAAGATTTTTACCCACAACGGCGCCCATGTCTCCCATATTAGCGAGTGCCCCCGGAATGGAACGGAGCCCGCGTGCATCATTTTGTAGGCGGACTTGGCACTGTAGTTTCCATCAGGTGACCAACGCCACACCGTCCTGTCTGGCTGATCGTTGAGGCTGATGTACTCCGTGGCCTCCCAAAGGGAAGGAAGTGGTTACTGGCCCACCCCACGCCGGGACAGCGAGGATGACTCTCCTGATTCCGACCCAAGGCATGGTAGGCACATCCCATTCTGTGACTACCCGCCCGACTACCCTGGTGAGGCCGGGGATGATGGCGAATCGAGGTCTTGGCGCGCACGTCCGGGGTCTATGATCCGTGTGGGGAACCGCTTTGCCATTGTTGGATCGGGCGCCCATGCCGACCACCCGATGGCGCTTCGCTAGCCGGTCTGGCGATCGATGGATTCCGCAACCTCGCCCTTATGGAGAGCGGACCGGGATGAGGAGAGGTGCCTTCCTAGTTGGCCATCCTCCCCACCGCCTTGGGATCCAGGCTTTGTGGGCGGTTCTGAAGGTCGCACCTATCTTGTCGCACACGGGCCGTTCCATCCGCAGACGCCTCCGCCCAAAACACTTGATTGGTGGCTTGATTGTGTGGACGCTGAATTGGCGGGCGGACATGGCCGTGAAGATAATGAAGAGGACCCGGCGCGGCGTCGTGGGGAGAGCCTTTACGCCCTTCGACTCGCCTAGAAGGGACTGGTGGTCAGACCTCGTCGAAGCAGAGTTTGCCGAGACTGCCCGCGTGCATTTGTCTGGGCTTGTGTCCTCGGAGGCGCACGTATTGGATGACCACTCCGGTCCAGAGACGGCTCTCACAGACAATGACAATGTATCTGTGGGTCATGATGATGTGGGGGATGTGGCAGCAGACGGTAACGGGGGGATTGATCCTGAAGATGTTCATCCTAACCCGATGCAATTGCAGCTTGAAGCGGCGGTCTGTATCCCGTTTCAGACACCGCTTGTCAGCCGACGGCCGCGGCTACGTAGGGCCCGCTCGCCGATATCTGTGCACTCACTTCGTCGGAGTGGTCGGATTGCAGCGAGGCCGCGTGCTGGCAACGCAACGGCACGGGCACAGCGAGTGTTGTTGAAGAAGCTCGGTGTTGCAGTGGTAGAGGAGGAAGCGAACGTCGAAGTAGAGAAGAAATTTAAACTGGCGTTCGGGGGGAACATGTCGAAAAGGAAGTAGCACGCCTTGCAGTTGTTCCTCAATGAAGGGATCGATCTAACGGCAATGAACCTAGACCTCGAGGGTCTGGAGGGGCTTGAGCATGGCCACCACACCTCGTTAGAAGCTCAACTCGGTTCCATCATGTTACACCGAGGTTTCCTGGTTTGGAACGTGCGCGGCCTCAATGAGCGTGCACGGCGCAACGTTCTGCGCGAACTGATCATCGCTCAGCGCCCCTCCTTAATTTGTGTTCAGGAGACCAAGCTCTCCAACATCTGTAATGCAACTGCTTTGGAGTTCTTAGGTCCGCCTTATGAATATTTGTTTTTGCCTGCTGTTGGGGTTGCTGGTGGAATCCTTCTAGCCTGGGATAGGGAGATCTGGCAGACCTCACTGCCGAACCTGGGCCGTTTCAGTTTGGCGGCAACTTTTCAAATGCAGGGGGCTTTGCCCAGCCCTTGGAGCTTCTTTCGCAGGGGTTCGACTCCTTCGTTTTACTGATTGGGTGGAGCTTGTGGAAGGAGCGGAACCATAGGACGTTCCAGGCTGGTGCAACCTCACCGCCAAGCCTGGCCATGTTGATCAAGGAGGAAGCGGAGAGGTGGTGTGCGGCCGGGAACGCCCACCTTTCCAGGCTGCTCGCGCGTGCTTCTGCTTGAGCGCCGCTGTGCTGGTAGCTATCTTTTGTAACAATGTAGTGTCTTACCTTTGGATCCAGTAGTGCTAGGTGACTTGGTAACGTTTTTGTTACCAAGTTTCTGTAACCTTGTTTTCGAAACTCTTATCTTCTTAATGAAATACGCGCATAAGCGTGTTCTCAAAAAAAAAAAAAAGATCCAAGTATTTAGCGATCGTAACCAGTGTCAGGCTGCCCGTGATGTTCCGCGTCCATTGCCTATTGACAAGGCCTTGGCGGACGGTGAAGCGAGCTCTGGTTCTTCTGGGGACGAGCTGCACCAGGTTGGGTGCGATGTCCGATGGCGCCTATCCCTGAATCCACCGGTCATCCCAGAAGTGCGCAGACATGCCGTTTCCTAGGGCTGTGAACGTGGATGCGCGGAAGAAGGCTCGCACTTCCGGATCGGCGTTGATCGGCAGTTCGCTCCTTGCCCGCGAACTGTCAGTCTTCTGCAGCCACAACCACCTTGTTTGTAGTGCATAGCCCACGAGTTTGAGGTCGGTGATTCCAAGCCCTCCTAACTCCGTCGGCCTGCGAGCAGTGTTCCACGCCACCATGCATTTCCCATGTACCGACGCATCCTTGCCGACCCACAGGAACTTCCTGCATATGGCGTCGATTTCTTTTCTCGCCCAGGGAGGAAGATTGTCCGCCATCATTGAGTAAATCGGCACAGCCCGGAGCACTGATTTGATCCACACAATCGCTTCTCAATGTATAATATTGCCGTTCCATTTATCCTCTCTTGTGACATTATGGATCTCATATGGTTCTTTAGCAATTTTAATTTTGAGAAGCTTGTTTCAGCTGATGCGACATAGTAAACAAGATGCGATAAGTAATGGAAGTACTAGGATAACAAACTCAAAAATTTCCATAGCTGTCCTACCTGGGTAACTAAATTTTAGATTCCTACCTTGCTGCCGCCTGACGCCTGCCTGCTTTGCTGACTGCTGGAACTGCCGAAGCCGAATAGGGATGAGGGATCACGTGAGGTGAGGTTAGTGCCCTGTGTGAATCTCCGTTTGCGAACGCCGCCCGCACCCACACGCAGGAAGGAAGGCCGCGTACTTGCGCCCACGCCGCACTTGCCAAGGAAGGAGTCGAACAGTCCGTGCGTGATTCCTCTGCCGTACTGGATACTGGGCTGAGTACTAGACGTGTATGCATACTGGGGAGGGCCCATTGGCTCACTGGGCCTGGGACGGCCGTCCCTCCCGCCCCGCCTCAGGGCCGGGCCTGCCTCGCTGGTCCGACCGCGGGTTCAGTGTGCGGGAGTTGCGGCCGAGAGCGACGGCGGCGCGGCTTTCGCGTGCCGTCGTCGTCGCAGGCCCGGTCCTGGCGGGGGTCGAGCAGTGCCCCCGCACTGGGCCCTCGGATCCTTGGGGCCCTCCCAGGAATCTAAAGGCAGCGTTGGTTTGGCTGTCAGGCACGTTGCCGGTTTAATTTGCGACACGTTCAACCTTGTGGCATCGTTTCACTTAATGCTCGAGTTGTAGCCTATACTTGTATAATCTCAGCTTCTATACATGTGCTGTGCAACGTGACGTGATCCACGTGACTTTGTCGATAGACTATTAATTCCTACTTCGTTTGTCCCATATTATAAGACGTTTTAACAATTCTATATTCATATCTTTTACTATGTATCTAGATATAATATATCTAGGTACATAGCAAAAGTTATGAATCTAAAAAAGCTAAAATGTCTTATAATTTGAAACGGAGTACCTTTTATCGTTTACTCAATCTCACTATTTGTTACTTCGTCCATCCTAAAATAAGTACATACCCTATTAATCAAGGAGTCAAATATTTTTAAGTTTGATCAAATATATATACACAATAATACTAATATTTATTTTGTGCAATAAGCATTATTACATTAGTTGTGCATTATATATTTATAATAAACTATTTTAAGATACAAATATTGATATTATTTTATAGTTAAATTTAAAAGAGTTTGACTCTCTGAGAAGCGTGATGTGTGTTTATTTTAAGACAGAATGAGAATATGTTAAATACCAAACTAAAACACCGTGATCGATCCCCTGCACGTACGGATTGGCACACAAAATTACATAATTATTTTTTACCTGTAAATATTAAATTGTTTGATAATTTTAGATGTGTTTATTGGTAACATTTCATATGCATATTTTCCCTTTATTTCAATTTTTAAGGGGCCTTCATCTATGATTTCGCTCTAGGCCCTCAAACCCTCAGGACCAGCCCTGCGTCGTCGCATCCTGATCCTGTACGCATCGCCGGCGGCGGCGACCCATGTGATGTGTGCGCCGATTGTTTATTACTCATGCAGCTAATCCCTATATGTGCAGGATATGCTTGATGGTTGTTACTTGCTACCCACCGGAATTAAGCAGCATCCGACTATTGTATCCTGTGCCTGTACGTGATCGGCATGGTACGTACGTGCATACGTATGCTTGGCTGACCTCGCTTCTCTCTGCACCGGCCGTTAGGCAGCACAGAGTACTCGAACCGCCCTTTTAGGTGAAAGAGAGGAGCAGCACAGAGCATTTGTGCCAACAACAGCGTGGCACGCTCCAAGTGGTTAGCCAGTATAGGACTGCAATCATGGTGTTCTTTTGGACGAAAGGGACGGGGTGATCTGTCGTCGGCTCTCAGCTGGAAATGGTTTTCGGAGCCGCCATCCGAAAGGGACTCGCTACTTCCTAGGCGGCCTTATGCCCTCCCTGCCCGGGGTCCGGCCTCCGTGCCCGATCGCACGCCATGCATCCGGCACCGTCACCACTGAGCGCAAACAGCCGCGAGATAGATAGAACAGGGGCCATGATCCACGGATGTGGACGAACATGCGCAAACGCAGATGGTTTCAGCTCCACATGCGTACGTGCAGCACTGCACGACCGGGCCACAAGGATTCGCCCCGGCTCGGCTCGGCCTTCAATTGTTTCGGCAAAATTCACGCGTTCCCAACGGGGGGAAAGTATTGCCCCGATAAGCCATGACTAAAAATAATATTGACTGATTTATTGTGAGAGAGAAAATACTGTTTGTTGGCTGAAAAAATACGGCTTATAAGCCAAGCGGAAAAGGTATATACCGTATTCTCCACTAGACCACTAATGATAGCAACAGGACTGATTGGTACAGTAAAAATACTACAACCGAAACGAGTACTTTCTGCACGTGATAAATGCTGCGTATTATACTATGCACGTGATAAATGTTGCATTTTTTTTGAACGCAAGATAAATGTTGCATGTAATGCTCCCAAATCTGCAATTTTTTAGGCGGAGGTCTTATCGCCACCAAAGGCATTCTCCAGGACGCCCGTCTCCTGAAGGTGGCTGATGTCCCCGCACATCTTGACGATGCAACGACCGGTGGCATCGGACACGAGGATGACACTCACTGACGTGTTGTGTATTTTGCAGTGGAGCGGCTTCGTAGGACTGGCGTGCCTGTAGAGTTCTCGGATGGTGCCGCCATGTGAAACCAGGATAACTCGTTCCCCTGTCAGTAGACAGCGGCTCATGAGCTCGCAGGTAAACATCAAAGTAGCATTTCTTTGACATGTCTAATAATACAACCCAAGCAAAATCATGTCTATGGAAATATCAGTAACTCGAATTTACTTGTAATAAGGATCAGGTCACAAGGAGTCCAGGAATAAAGCTCACGGCTTACCTTTGTGTTTCTCAACAATGTTGTACAAACACGACACACATCGCTCCGACAGTTGATCAAGACTCTCTCCACCACCCTGAGAAACGAAGTCAAAGAGAGTCAGGAAACAATGCACAAGAGAATCTGCTGCATGCAGCTAAGAATAAATCTAGTGAAAGGAAAGCTTTATGGAGATCGGATGCGAAAATGACAAAAAACCAAGCTGTTCTTTCCAGATACAGAATAACAATAACTCAGGGAAAAGAGGTTCCACCAATAAGAATTTTATTGCTCGTGTAACGGTTCGACTGTCCCGAGGAACTGTATAACTACATGAGTACTGATTTGCAGCCTGTTCGCTTGGTCGTGTTTGGCTTATAAGCCATGACTTATCAGCCAATGAACAATATTTTTTTCTCACACCAAATCAGTCAACAGTACTTTCAGCCATGACTTATCAGCCAAACAAGTCCAAACGAACAGGACATTGATTGGAGTACTGAGCTTTTATCAGTTCAAGTTGTCTACAGATATACATAAGCCCGTAAGAGTTAGTTGTCTATAGATGTAGCAATAAGCTTCCTCCCAGTAAGCTTGATCGTATTTCACTAGTAGAATATTATACTTGGCACACATAATTTGGATGTGCAAAATCACTGTATATTCCAGTTTGAATTGTTGATACCAACATAATAGTTGACCATGAGCCATTTAATGCATATCGTTTCTTCACCTATGCTTCAGAAAGTCCTTAACATTACTCATGCATGCTTCAACACATCTTAGCGTGTGCAGCAATGCTAAGCATAGTACTTGTCGATAGGTTATAAGAACACTTACAGGAATTTGTTGATTTCTCTTGCGGGACATAAAAGCTTTGTATGCCTCTGGCCTCTCTGTAGCAGCATCTTGAAGCTTCATGCCCTGCAGATCTCCAATGTGTCTTTCTCTCAGTGCTGGATCAAACACGACCTGGACGATTAAGCATTGAATTCATTACGCTCGATTAAGAATTTTACAAACAACTGAACCATGTACAATCAGTATATTTCCAATCACAGAAGTAACAGGCCATGCTGAAATATCCACACAACATAAGAGGAGATGAGTAGAATGGACATACATTTGGCACATTGCAAATTCTTGCGATTGTTTGCGCAGTCTCTGCTGCTCGCTTCAGATCAGAAGAGTATATGGCAACTGGTTTTGCTTCCTTAGAAAGGCGATGAGCAACCTTTGAGAAAAAATTCCCCATAAGAAATGCTACTAAAAATATCAAGTGAAAACCAGTAGAAACCACACCATACCGCAACAGCTTGCTGC